GTAAATTTTTTCTGATTTTCCCCCCCCCCCCAAAAAAAAAAAAAAAAAAAAAAAAAAAAGAAAAGCACAATTCCTAGCTAACTGCCTTCTGGGGCCAGTGTCACGCATCCCGGCTGCCAGAGGTCAAATTTAGTACCTTAATCTGCTTAACGGTACACTCTTGGCTGTCCCAGCTGTTAATCTATTCTGAATATTCCTGTTGTTTGACCTCTCGGGGAGAGTTGGTTTGTGATCCGGCTGTCAGGCTGTCGCCACGAGGGCCCGGCCGACAAGCCAGGGCTTCCTCTCCTTAGCCCCTCTTCAGCTGTGACTCCGTCAGCGAACTTTGTGTTCACGTGTGACCCCCGTATCAGTTATCTCAGGATCGGTTTCCTGCATCTGTCCTCCCAGTTATCGTGCGCTATTTTGATTTACCTTGGAAACATCCTTTGTCTGAGCTTGCAGACCTCCAAGCTTGCCCTGGTCTGTGGCACAGGCTCCCATGCCTTCAGGAAGCCAACCCTTTCTGCGAGAGGCCCTCAAAGACCGTCTGGTTCTGCTCATTTTGAGTGCAAACCCTGGCATTAACCCCACTGTTTTCCAGAGAGGCCACTGGGACGCTGCTGAGTGGCAGCACCGAAACGGGACACCAAAGCCAAAGATGCCGCCAACACTTTCGTCCTAAAGCTTTTTCCCCTCCACATGCGTGCCTGTGCGCCAATGCCCAATTCAGTAGGCTCTGTAAAATATCGCATGTGTTTTGCTGCTTAAATCTGAGGAGGGTAAGCTGGGAAAACATCTAGCGCTGCCACGCTTGCTGTCCTGCACCTGCCTGCCATTTCTTGCCTGTTACGGTCCTGGTTTGACTGCAGGCAGAAGTGAGCAAGCAGGGTGGAAAGCACAAGTGGTCTTCCCTTCTTCCCCCAGGGATATCTGTAAAACACTGTGGCTGACTTAGTGTGATCCCAGGTCTTCCTCAGGCTCTTTAGACCAAAAGCTTGTGTTTTGAGGTAGGAAGCGTAGCCGCTGCCGTGCCAAGCAGCCAGAACTAGATTCAGCAAGGCAAACCTGGAAGCCCGGCTGATGAAATGCTGGTCACAAAGGTGTACTTCTTTTCTCCGGTCTGCTGCGAGACTTCATTTTAATCTGGTGAATGCAGAATAGCTGCTTTGACATTGGGCTGCTGCTCGTTAAACTGGGGGATATGGAAACCGGCCAGCTGGGTCACCTCCAGCCTCAGATCCTGCCTTTTGCAGGAGATGCTGGGTGGAAAGGGCAGCTCCGAGGAGAGCTAGCTCCAAGTGCCAGCACTTCCCCCAAGATGATCTTGCTCCAGCGCTTTCGCTTGGGCTGCGGCTGTCGGTTGGATGTGCCTAACGAGGAGCGTGGTTAACCCCAGGCCTCCCTGTCCATGCAGGGCTGCGCCCCACCAAGAGCTGCAAGGTGGACATTGCTGGAGGACCTTTGAGAGGTCCCATGCAGGCTACGGGTTGCTTTTCTGGGTTCTCTGGGCAGGGGAGAGCCCCTCTCTGGGTCTTTCAACTGTGTCGGCCTTCTTGCATCCGAGCTTCTAAGGAGAGGTGATGAAGCGGTCTGTCCTGGAGCCCACATCTCAAGTGCTTTGCACCACCATACCTCTGCTTTGCGAGGGGTCTTCCCTGTAGACGGTTTCTTCCCAGCTTTACCCTGGTGCATGTAACACAAACCAGTGAGAAGAAAACCTCGCCCAAGCAGAGTGGTTGCAGGAGGGTGAGTAACGCAGCAAAAATGGAAGCCAAGACCTTCTACCTGGGAGAGCGAGCGACACAAAAAGCTTCCATGCTGGGTTGGCATGATGAGAGTTGTCCTCCTGCAGCTTGCGGAGGCCTGGAGAAGCGTGCCCCACTAGACTCGATCAACTCAATGTGAAGGAAAACGTGACCTTCAGCGTTAAAATCCAGCTGGTAACAAATTCTTTCCAGCACCCTTCTGGGCACGGTGATTTAAAGTGCTTTTCTTTAAACTCATATGACTAGCTGTGTTGCTGCAAATGGGAGGTTGAAGGGCCAAAGTGTCCAACTCCAGCTCAATCTGAGTTTCATAGAGAGGATTTTCCTGTTTAAAACCAACAAAAAGAGGATTCTTGCAGGAAGAATCAAATAATAAAAGAAATCAAAGAATACTTTGTGGATATATTATTGGAAAAGAAGTAGATGATGTTGGCTAGGAACTAAGGAGGAAAGCACCGGGGGAACCTGATATCTTATACTGTTAATCCAGGCTGTGTTTCACCATCAAGCATGCCTTATTTTGTACAAAGGTGCCGATATAAGAAGGTGTGGGTGGCTTTGACGCGCAGCAGCTCATTTGAGGCCGGCATTGGGTACCCTGCTGAACAAATCTGCTTTTCGCTGTCATGTCAGGGGAGATGATGGTGCTGTGCTGGCAGGGATGGGGCAGGCAGACCCGGCCGTGCCAAGCATCTTGAGCAAAAACTGCTTTTCACAGCCATCAGGGACTTGGCTGTGGGACAGGGTGGATGAATTAATCCGAATTAAAAACTGATTCTAAGCTCAGTTCTCTGTGCTTGGGGCTGACGGGGGCGGAGAGGGGGTGGCCTCTGCTCTGTGCTCTCCTGCAATAATTTCTAACCCACTTTTCCCTTCTCTCCCAACAGAAACTTGTGTGAGGCAACAGGACAAACATGCTTAACTTAAGGACTTGTGCAGCAAAG